CAGTAACAATTAATTTTGGAAGTGTAAAAGAAATATCTCATTCAGTTAAAAGCCGCAAAACAAGTCCACCTATAGTCGAATAGTTTACATGCTGCAAATAGTCAACTGATACAAGTTTAGTTATTCCCTTATATGAAAACAACGTGTTGACTACACTGTGTCCTCTAACATCTGTTGTTTCTTCGATTATAATAGCTACTGGTTTGTTATTAAACATTTTTTGTAAACTTTTCAAATGTTCATTAAAAACCTTTGGCAAGTATGAGTGATGCAAAGTATCAGCAGTAGGTATGGCACCACCCTCCTTACAATACATATTTAAAAAATCACGAAACTTATCAAGCTTTTCCAGTGGTATGTCAGCCTCAACCCATGCTGTGACAAGATCACAAATAACTTCTCTTTTTTTATCCGCCACAGTTAAAGATGATAGAAGGTATTGTTGCTGGGTTTTATTTGTAGAATTCAAGTAAGCTTCATATTTATTTTTATAAACTTTGCTATTTATATGTCCAGTAACAAAAGCTTTATTCTGGTAATTAACACTGTAGTTGCAAAAACAGCACATGAGTTTTCCAGAATCCAAGACAAAGTCTTCTAAAAACTCTTGGGCACGGCTATAAGCAGTGACTTTTTTGGGTTGTTCCATTGTCTTTACAGTTTTTTTTTTTGTTTTATTTAGTTGTGATCAAAATCTTTTTTCGCATCTTTGGTGCATAGAACAAGAATTACTTTGGATATTCAAAGAAATTTATACTTAAAATCGAATAATTTATATATCATACTGACAATGCATTTCTATTGGCCAGATCACATGTATCCTAAAATCAGCCAAAATTTTTGGCTAAAATTTGGATTAATTTGGGTTAAATATAAAAATTTGGAAATCATAAAATTAGGCACAAAAATTTGGAAAAATTTGGAAATTTTTGAATCTAAATTTTTACGGGTCCCTGGTATGTGTACGCCAAAATGTCCATCTATTTCTAACATATTAGCGATATTAAGAACCACAACCCAATTCGACCGGAATTGGTTATTTTAATTCAGTCTACAGAATAAAAAATAATTAAATTGTTTGTTTTCGTAATATTCGCTAGTGCTATTTTAGATGCTAGAAATAGCTGGAGATACTGACGTACGCTCTAATACTAACACTATTTTGATTTTTATTACTGATAATATAGTAATAAGATTATTTAAAATAAAATATATATATAGTATATACTGTATTATATATATATATATATATATATATATATTATGTAATAAAGTTATAAACAGTTAGACCTCTATAATTAGTGTAAAACAAAATTTAATGGCCAAATATAACCTTTCTGGCATATACTGTACTGTAGAAACAGAGAAAATACACACCCTCTCTAAATAAACATTTTGTTTTATGGTCTCAAGAGGGATGCAATTATAGAGGTTTGTATATATTCTTTTAAAATTAAGTGAAAAATTTTTGATTTTAGATTTTAATCTTGCAAAATTTTATTTCTGGGTCTTCAAAGAACCCGTCCATGCAAAACACTAAATTAAAAAAAAATTAACAGCTAATTTCAGTATAGACTGCCATAATATCGACATGTCTAAAAAACTTGAAACTCGCAAATTAGTATATGGTGCAGTAATGTGGTATGGCGCATATAAGGAATTAACCAATCAGAAAACGTACCGGATTAGCCGTGTACAAGAAAAGAAAAAATATGAAAACTGATGTTTAAATCAACATTGGAAAAAACTTGATTTTGCATATGCTTTAACTGTTAAGCTTATAACCATGAACTCTAACAAGAAAACCTAGTATAGAGGCTAAAAAAATCTATCCAGATGAATTGCATCACATGACTGAAAGACGTCTAGACCCGGTAAGGCATCATACACTGTGTTTGTTATACCTGATACAGTATTTGTTTATACGCAACACTGTTCAAAAAAAGAATGATCGTCGATTCGTACATAATAATTGACTGATTTTTTTAAGTATAAATACGACAATAAATCGAAAACTGAAGAATATTACTTTAAATACGTAACTATTGTAATTATTTGTGGCGATTTTGCAGATAAATCCCCATTATTCGTGGCTTGTGTTTTTAAGTCGAAATAAAAGGCGATTGACCGCCGGAGTTTTTAACAAATTCTTTTCCTGTTGGAGAAGTGCCACAAATACTCTATTTTTTATATGTATGTTTTGATTATTACGTCCTCGAAAATTTATTATTTTGATGTATATAATAATAAATTCTTTTATTTAAAGTGTATTTCTTAGGTAATCATTAATTTAAAAGAATAATGAATATAAAGTTATATACAATAAAGCAAGTATAAATACATTTATTATTTTGTTAGATCAAAAGCCAGTTTCGTGATTTTTTTTCAAGATTATATCTTTTATGTGGTGCCCAGAACAAGTTAGCCCTATGGAAATTGATAATACTGTTAATGATGATATTAGTGTTTTTGATGGTTTTGAAACCAAAGAAAGCTTCGCAAAGATGGACCAAGTTCTTGGTGTTATCGCTGTGGTTGGACAAGCTTCGAGACATTTTGACCCATTAGTAACTAACATTATAGAATTAACTAAAAGTACTCTCGATATATATGAAAATGTGCAATTTAATAAGAAAATTTGTGATTGTTTAATTGATCGGGTTGAATCTGTTGAGATGGCTATTAAGTCATTAAAACGGCATAAAGAAGAAAATGCCAGGTATTTCTTTAATCAAACCACCTATAATACCTTTCACCAACTTATCGTTGTTCTCGAAAAGATGCAGCAATATATAACGGATGTATCGCAACTTCATGGATTGCGAAAGTTTACGAATATAATGGATATAAAAAAACAATTTGAAGAATTAACTGTAGAATTTGATATGATAGTTAGCACTTTACAACTTAAAATGGCTTTTTCTGAAAAAGAGCAATCAATAAGAGATAAAGCTGCGATAGAAGATGACATTAATACAACGACGAAGGTATCTTAATTTATTTTCTATCTATCTATCTATATATCTATATATATATATAGTCATTAATATATATATATATATTTTTTTTATATAATGTTTATTATTGAATAGTTTTTAAGCAATGTAAAAAGTGGAATAACTCGGGATATTGCACAAGATGATACCACACCTTTAAAACCACCACAAATTAGTGATATTTTTGATGAAATAATAAAAAAAAAAAATTTTGTCACTGAGACCAATAAGACAACTAAATTCAAAGCGAAAATTATACCATCTGACAAAATAATAAATCCTGATGGACCAAGTAAAGGAAACGTTCACAGGATGCAATATGAGGATAAATTTGTTGCGTGTAAATACTTTGATAACGATCAAAATGCAAGGTTTCACAACGAATTATCGATGCTTTATAATCTGAATGATTCTGAAAATATTCTCAAATTTTACGGACTTTCTGAATTAGATGAGGGTCAAAGTCAAGTCTTAGTTTTTGATTGGGCTGACAAAGGTGATTTACAGACCTTATATGAAAATTATGATCTTGATTGGCCTGTTAGACTACAGATTGCTGTTGGTATTTGTCGCGGATTGTTATTCTTACACGGATGTCAAATACTTCATCGAGAACTTCGATGTCAAAATGTTGTGGTACGTATATGTGTTAATTTTAGATGTATTTTACGCTACATTAATATTCTTTCATGTATTATATTGGATTTGATTAAATAGATAACTGGAGATTTTCAACCAAAACTTGTAAATTTCAATTTCGGTCGACCAGCAAAGTACAGTAGATATTTTGTTGAAAATATAACAGCTGTTGTGCATTGGCTAGCTCCAGAAAAGTTGCGTTTAGGGAATAAAGTGAAATTTTCACATAAATGTGATATCTTCAGGTATTATTTCATATTATGTATGATTATTCACTAATCTTGCCTTAAGTTTACTAATTATATTGTATTTATTAGCTTTGGTATGCTCTTATGGGAGATTGCTTTTGAGAGAATTCCATACAAAGATTGGAGTTATACGAGCATCATTGATCATGTGAAAGCTGGCAAGAGAGAAAGCATGGATATAGGTTCTAATCCAATTCAACGAGATTTCACAAAGATAATTAGAGCAGGTAAATTTTCTTAGAGATTATCCTATTTATTTAAATAAAAATTAATTTGAGTTTTATAATTTTTTATCCAACAATAGCATGGCAAGATGATCCTACTCTTCGTCCAGGATTACATGAATTATTTATTCAATTAGACAAATTACATAAAGATAATCCTGTCGAACTGGCTCAACCAATGAAGAAAAATCACATCGAAATGGAAAGCACAGATGCCCAATCCGAAATAATTGTGGTTGAGGAAAACAATGTGCAAGACAAAGATTTAGAACTTAAATTTTTGGGTATTGTTCGTTCAATATTGTTACTCGAAGAGGGCATTAAATCACATAAATCTGGAGAAAAAAAAGTAGCATGGGAGTGTTTTCAAGCACATGCAGATTTGGGAAACAACTACGCAAAATATTGGCAAGCACATTACTTAACGGAAGGATATTATGTGGATAAAGATACAAAAAAAGGGACAAAATATTTTAAAGAAGCCGCGGATGCTGATGTAGCGGATTCGCAACTTCGTTATGCGTTCTCACTTTATCATGATCAAATCATTCAAGACACTGATGCGTTTTTACACTATTTAACATTAGCGGCAGAAAACGGAAATGCTACGGCACAATTTAATTTGGGTAGAATGTATTATGCTGGTATGGTTGGATTAAATAAAGACAAAGAGAAAGGATTACAGTATCTAAAAATGGCAGCTTTAAAAAATCAACCAAGAGCTATTCAATTTTTGACTAGTGTGAAAATAGATAGATATGTTTGATTGCTCTGGTGTTCTAAGCAGGTTAAATTGGGTTAGGTTTATCATATTTGCGAATAGTATAGGTGCTATTTCTTTTAATAAAAATTATTGTACTTAATACTATTATGTGAATAAATTTTGGGCCAAAAAATCGATTATTTTAATGTATTAATAGAATTTGTCGAATATATTTTAAACAATTTATTCGAGTACTTACAGCACAAGTTTAGTGAAAAAAAAATAGTTTATTTTTTAATTTTGTAAAGTATTATGGTTAACTAAATAAAAAATAAAAAAATAATTATTAAAATAAAAAATTTAATATTAAGATTATATATTGGGTTTATTTTTTTAAAAAATAGCAGTTGATATATATTTTTATATACTGTACTTTATAGTTTAAAATTATAATTAATATTGGGGATTATTTTTTATACCCCCCTAATTTATTAACCGTACCCCCTGCAGATTTACCTTTTTTTTAAACTTTGAGCAAATATATCTTGGTAACTACTAGGCCAAATTTGACAAACGTTTT